TGTTAAATTGGTGACCCCTGAGCTTATAACCAGGCTTAAATTAGGGCTCAGCAAACAGCAAATATGCCATTTTTAACCCTAACCAATGTTACACACCCTATTCAGAGACCTTAAGGACCAGATACCCTATAGAATCATTCTATGACCCTTTTAATACAGAGTCTGTAGGGTTTTATTTACCTCTGAAAGAGATGAATATTTATTGCTCAAATCAAGATAGTTTCTCTTATCCTAGAAAATTAATCACGTCACATTCTTTTCCATAACAAAACCATCTGAAATGTTTATCTGATATGACATGATAATGATGCAGGGCTCCAATTATCGTCACGTGACTGATGTTTCGTCACATTTTGGAGACCAAGTTGTTTCCTCCGATTAAAATGTGGCTTTAGCGAAGAAAGGAGAAGGTTTTTCAAAGTCAAATGAACACATTTACCATAAAGTTCTGAAAACAGGTGTTATAGACGCGAAGCTGCTGTTAACAGTCAGTAAACGGTCAGTAAACGGTCCTCGGTGACAGCCTTTACAGGCAGGACAACCGCTTTAGATGGAAAAAAACGGTCCGCAAACTCACAGAAACACCAACAGACATTAGCTTTGTAAGCCTGAGGATAAATATCCCAATATATTCGATAAAAACTTTCATTTCCGCTTATTTAACAAACTGTTTTAAAGAGGATGCAACTTGATCTTTAAGGATTCTCTACGACCGTTAATCTGATTCGTTTAACGCCAATAACACATCAAACATCATCAAAGTGTTTTGCCAAAAATAAGTTTTATACTAAGTTTACAAATGTATCCGTAGGTATGGTTAAAGAAACATAAAAGTCTGTTCTTACGGTAACTTTTCCCGGGCCTCTTCCTCTCGTCTTCCGAACGGTGAACAACTGGTGCGTTCAAGAACCTGTGGGAAATTCCTCTATCAGGGAGCGGAAACAGCATTCAGCGTAATCTTTTGATAGCAGTCTATTCTGTTCGGATTTCTGGGCTGCGCCTTCCAGAGGATGTTGGTTTAATTGGACTGTATCCTTTGAAGTCCTTGAAAATAAGGAGACCGGAAGAACTTTTCAAAACTGTTTCTTTTTATGTATTTTTATTGTGAAGTGAACAAAAACTTCACTCGTGAACCCAGAGTGGAATAAGCATAAACAAATAAAAGCAAATGTAATGATATAAACCAACATGCTGCTGTCATTTTGCACATTTCTGATGTTTCTTCTATTTTCAAATATCTATTACTGTGAAGTTATTTATTCTCCACATGCACAGTTTTATTTTATTAAAACACTTTACAGTACAGTATTTTATTGTTTATACTTTAACTCTTCCCTATTATGTCATTCTCATACATTATTCTAAGGTCCACTTTATGAGACCATTTTCAATAATTTCTGTTGCTGTAAATTTGCCCATTGTGGGACAATAGAGATTTTCAATT